CCCCAGCCAGCATGGCTGGCTGGGGAATTCTGGGAGTTGAGGTCCACAGGTCTTAAAGTTGCCAAGGTTGAGAAACATTGCAACCTGATCAAATAGGTTGGGTCTGTACCATACATTAAGCTCCCCACCCTCAGAAAAAACCCTAACCAAGAGTAACACTAAGCTTAACAAGTTGTAGAAATGCAGCTGCTACGATCCTACCTAGCCTGGTTAAATGGGTTGTGTGAACCTGACCAGGGAATGTTTCTTCCAAGATATTAAAATTGGCATCGGACCAAATTTCTGCCCCGGGACCCCGTTTTCCTGTCTCCGCTCAAGGACAGCCTGTTTGAATGCCCCCGCCAGGATGGCTAGGCGTGAGAATTGCCGGCAAACTCACCGATCTGACTCAGGAAGATTAAAAAGAAGCTTGTCGCCGTCCCCAGAGGATTCACGGCGGTCACGTTGAGCACATAGGGATCGGTGGAGAACATCTGCAGGGCGGTAATACCGCAGCTGTTGCCCCCTGCAACTGGTTGGATGCACTCGTGCACTTCTCCCACTAAACCGTGCCTGGGTCCACAGAGAAAACTGGGTTGAGACATATGCATTTCCTCATACAGCTTTGTTTTTATCAGCGCCCATGGAGCTGGGGGTCCAAAACGTCATGGGGGCGACCGTGTCCATGCAATGAAAGCCTGCCCCCCCTTTTTTACATGGGCCAGCCCTGACCTTGGAGGTCCTCCTCTGAACCCTCTGTGGCTTCTCCGCGTCCGTCTACAATCCCCCAAGTCTGACTAGTGCAGAATACGAAGGAATTATCACACGTGTCATCTGAATGCCATGCTTCTGTCCACGCAGCCTAAGATTGTCTTGGCCAGGGCAGCTGTGGCATCACACAAACAGCCTCAATAGAGCCTCCCTTTTCAGGAGCAGTCTACTTTTCAATATCAGGTGGTGGGGGAGGGGTGACAGGGAACAGCAGAGAGCCATAACCTTGGGGTAGGCTCTGGGGGTGTCATGAGACCTAACATACCCTGGCTGGAAGTTCTGGGAGTTGCAGCTGGATCTCTGAAGGCATCCAGGGAGAAAACATCTGGCTACGTTTGGGTTCCTCCTACACCCTGGCTTTTTACCTGTAGGTGGCCAAGAAAGTTGTGGGTAGGAGGGTCTTCGTTTCCAAAGTCCAGGAGCAATTGACCGCTGGGTAGCTAATGGATCTGCAGCGGATCGATGGTTTCTCCGGAGGATCTGCAGAGCAGAAGCCAAAAAGGTGAGACACAGACAGGTCCCCTCTTCCTTTGCTATTGAGGAATAAACAGAGAGACTGATTAGAATGGTGGGTAAAGGGACTGGGCTAGAAACCGGGAGACCATGAGTTTGAATCCTGGCTTAAGCACAAAACCAGCTGGGTGACTTTGGGGCAGTCCCACTCTCTCAGCCCTGGGAAGATGACAATGGCAAGCCGCTTGCAAAAGTGTTGGCAAGAAAACTGCAAGGACTTGTCCATGTCATGAAAGAAGGAATAAATGAAAAATTCACTTTAAAGCAGTGTTTCTCAACCTTAGCAACTTTAAGATATGTGGACTGGCTGGCTGGGGAATTCTGGGAGTTGCAGTCCACATATCTTAAAGTTGCTAAGGTTGAGATACACTGCTTTGAAGTATTATTAAAATGGAAAGAAGCAAATATACTTAAGACGAAATCTAGCTAGAAAGAAACCATCATGGCTTGTGGAATGTTAAGTCTCATCTCTCTAACTTTCTAAACCAGTGTTTCTTAACATGTGGTCTGAGGACCCCTGGGGGTCCCCCAGGGCCCTCTCAGGGCTCCCCAAAATCAAAATGATTTGCCAGATACGGAAGATATTTGCAAAAATGTAAAACAATGTCACTCTTCTCATTATTTTTTTTTGCTAAAAAATATAGGTTTTTTTCATGAACAATATGTCGTTTATGTTCATATCAAATGGGTTGAATATTGTTATTTTTACATGATTCAGTAAATAAATATTCTACGAATGGGGGCAGTTTAATTTTTAATATGGTAAGTATCAATAGAAAAAAAATCTCTGTGGTCGCTAGGCATCAAAAACAACTTGGTGGCCCATAACCGATCAATCAAATATTGATAAATAGTACCCATCGAAAAAAAAGGCTCTTTTGGGGTCCTCCATAATTTTTAAAGGTGGGAAGGGGTCCTTAGAGCCAAAAGTTGAAGAAACCCTGTTCTAAACTTTTCTTTAATAAGCATATGAACAAAGCCGACCCATTAGATCTTGTCTCCTGAGGCTTTCAGACAAAGCTTTGACAATGTTCTTCGTAATGCTCTTCCTGACTCAAAACCTAGCTGGTGGAACGTAAGAGAAGAGGAGAGTTTGTGGATTTGCAACCAGTTAGAAAAATAGGAAACCAGGAGTAGTTATAAACAGACCATTATTCCAGGTAGATCAGTCGCAACAGAGCAGGCTTTTTGTCTGGCGCATAAAAGTTCTGCAGGTCGGGCTGAGCATTGAGGGGGCTATATTGGCCAACGATACTCAACTCTTTTGGGATATAGTAAAAGCAAAAAGGGATTGTGAAGGGCATCTACAAGTCTCCCCAAACTGAGTGAGTGTCCAAATGGGAAAGGCATTTCAATGTGCAGGAGTGTAAAGCAGTGTTTTTCAGTTCAGCCTGCTGGCTGGGGAATTCTGGGAGTTGAAGTCCACACATCTTAGAGTTGCCAGTTTTGAAAAACACTGGTATAAAGCAATGCCCGCTGGCACCAAAAATCCAACCTTTGCTTATACATTAATGGAGAATGGACTGACAGGGGTCAGTTGGGAAAGATTTGGGGTAGCCAACCCAGTGCACAACTCCCGCTGAAAAAAGCAAATGCTTGGGACAGTCACTGGGAGTCAGGCGGCATATCAATTTAAGAAATACTGTAATAATTATTATTATAATTTCCAACAATTGGAGGTCTTTGTCTTGGAACCAAAAAGGATGCAGGGAGAGAAGGAAGAGGGGTATGAAACCACTCGTGCCATAGAGGTCATGGAGCAAGAGAAGTTTTTCTCGCATGCGCAGAGACCCTTCAGGGATGGAAGATGGAAGAGCTTTTTCACACAGCGCAGAGTTAATTGGTGGAATTCATGGCCAGCAGTTGTGAAAAAGGAAGCCAATTTAGATGGTTTTCAAAGAGGATTGGAGAAGTTCATGGAGGACCTGGCTACTGGGTATACAGCATTACATTCTGTCACCAGGTGTGACAGAAAACCTGGTGGTCACCAAAGGATGTATCTGTAGATATAATTGTGGCCAGCACACCAAGATAGGGAACTCTGCCATAGGTCCCTGAACTGGGGTTTCAAAGCTTCCAAAAGATTTGGGTCATTTTAGGGAGATGCCAGCAGTTGTGGGAATGGAAGCCAGTTTAGATGGTTTTCAAAGGGAACTGGAGAGGTTCATGGAGGACCTGGCTACTATCTGGATGGTTACTGACATCCTCCTGAATCCTAGGCAGCAGACCGTCAATGCCGGTTGCTGCCAAGTCTTCCAGACCAAACACATGAGCTTCCCAAATGCATCCAGTTAGCCAGTAGGTGGCCAAGAAGGCTGGGCTAGATGGGCTTCAGACCTGACTCCTCCTGAGTTCCTCTTACGTGTCCATCCTTTGTTGTTGTTGTCTGGCATGGAGAGTTGATGGGTAGTTGATGGGCATTTGATTCCGTGAGACCTTGGGAGACGGGGCCCAGAGATCCTGCCAAGGGAACGGTCAGATAAGAGGGAGCACAGCCCACAGCTGCATAATGGATGGAGAAAGAAACTCAGAAGGGACCCTTCCTAGCTTCTCTGGTTATAAAGGAGACGGCAGGAGAACTGTATTTCCGGACTTGCAAGATTTGGTCAATGTAGCCTTACAATAAAGTAGAATGAGCTCATCTGGTCGTGTTTCCTGTCTGGTCTACTTGGGAAGGCTGACAGCGAGCTACGAAATCCAGGACAAACCCTTTGGCTCCCCTACCAGGAAAACCTCCAGCTTACTAATGTTTGATCCAAAGTTTAAACACTTAAACCATGGCTACTGGATGAGGATAGAAATGGAAGGAAAGGGAAAGATGTATCATTAGAAAGTAATCTTTTCTCCTTTTTTACTGCTTCCCCCCCCCCCCCCCTCTAAATGGTGTAGTCTTTTTTTTTTTTTTTTTTTTTTTTTTTT